TCACGGGCAGCAGGCCCCGCCCCTCGGTGCTGCACTGCGGTTCCCACCGCCCCGCCTCCCCGCCGAGGAGTGACGTCATGAGCCTCCCAGGCTCCGCCCGTCTCTGCGCGCACACAGGTGGGGGCAGCGAGAAAAGGTGCGAGCTGGGCTTGCAGGAGAGGAGGAGGCGAGACGGAGGAGGGGGGAGCCCTGTGCTGGGAAGGGAGGGGTGAGAACCTGCAGACTTGTCACCGAGCTCCTGGTGAGACTGGAGCTCCTGGAGCCCTCAGAAGTAGCCCTTCAGATGACTCCCCCGCCGCATCGGCTTGACACACTGCAGCGTGTCAGAGGTCCAGAGGCGTCCACAAACAGGAACTTGTCTGGCAGGATGGACTCGTTGACCTTGAGGCATTCTAGGCCAGTGTCATCACCTTGAAAATAAGAGATGTGTTTGCCTCCCTGGGCGTCTCGGGAGGGTTGGCCAGTTTCAAGCATAAACCCAAGCTCTGTCTCTGATAAGCTTGAGTACTAACCCTCAGGAAATTCGCTGCCTGGGGTCCCAAAAGAGAATCCAGCCCCCTGTGATACCGTGGGGTGCAGTGGCCAACCAGCTAATCTCTGAACAGTCATGGACCCTGGGCTGCTACAGCTGGAACAGGGAAGGCCCAAGATCTGCCTTAATTCTATTCCAAATCCTGTTAGAAGGCGATTAGTTTTCTTGACATGTATCCACCACCTGGTCATTAGAGAGGAGCTGAGGAATGATAAGAAGAAGAAAGAAGAGGAGGAGAGAACTAAATCAATAACATAAATTTCTCCAAGTCATGACTGACACTTTGAAAATATGTACTTTTTTTGAAAATTTATAACAAGCAAAAACAAAAAGTCAAAGTAGGATACATTAAAAAGTAAAGCACATGGACGTCATTTCCCCAAACAAATCTTAGAGCTCTAGGTTCAAATTGAGTTGCCACATTTTCAAAAGGATATAGAGAAAGGGGTCAGTCTAATGGGAAGAGTAACAAAAATGTTAATGAAAATAGGTCCTTTAAGGGATGGACTTGGCGTGGTTTTTCTTAAGGAACAGAAGATTGTGGAATTAGTAGGTTAATCAGTTGTTCTCCATTTTTTCTGAGGGGCCAGAAATTAATGACTGCCTCGTTGTCAAGAACATAAGTTTGAAGAGGCTACTGAAGGTAGTAGTGAAATTTCCATCTCTGGCTCCCTCACCCCAGCCAGCAAAAAGGGCGGGTATTAGAAGTGTTCCACTGCTCCATTCTAACCTTTGTGGAAGTTAAGTCTGAATCCTAGTCCCACCAATGCCACTAACTGGCTGTATGGCCTTAGGTAAGTCATTAAGCCTCAATGTCCCCAGCTACAAAATGGAAAGTAAGGAGGATGGCAGATCACACATGACGGCAGCAAAAGCCTCCCCTTATCAAAAGCCAGCCCTTCCTTTCCCCCATGCCTCAAGAAAAGGGGACCTAGCAGAGCAAGGTGCCAGAATGGTTTCCTTGTCTCCTTCCCCAAGCCAACCCAATAGCTCCTTTGACTTGATTTTTGTTTACTATAATGGAAAAAAAGATAGTGAGAGAGGTAGCAGAAGGGAACGAGAGAGGACATAAGTGCATGACAGAAGAAACAGTCTGACTATTCCCTGACTCAGGAAAAGTGGGACCAGAGCAGACACTGCCAAATTAGAGTGGTTTACTACTTTACCTCACCTTTCCTTAGGCTCCGCCTACTTCCTGTGTTTCAGCTGAGATAGTAATTTCTTTCTGTCTTCTCCATTATAGCTATTGTCACACATCAAATGATTATACTGAGTCTAGACAGCAGGTACCACAGTTTATTCATCTTCACAGGCCAAGCCCTAGCCATGGTGCCAGCCCCAACCTCAGATAGTCAACTCATGAAGAAGTGAATGGGAAAAAAAAAAAAGGATAAATGGCAGAGGTATAGCATAACCAGGGAAAGATATATTTGTCATTTTAAAATTAAAAGGTCTGTATTAGACCTAGG